TGTCAAATTTCAGAAACATGTAATGTTCATTAAAACAAAAAAATATAGATCCAAGAACTATTAGTTTCAAAATTATTAAATTTTTGTTATTTTAAATTTATAATAATAGCACAAAAACATCTGAAACTAATTCAAAGAAATATCAATTGTATTAATACTATGTAAATAAAATAAATAAATATTAATAAATATTAATAACGCTTCATTCGTAATTCTAAAATAATGAACATGCGCTTCATTTTGTAAATCACATGGTAATATTAGAGAAACAAAACATTTATATTGAGGAATGAATCATACATATCTAAATTATAATATATTCATCAACATTTAAAAGAAATATTTATTATTAATTTCAAATTTTATTGTTAATTTCAATCCATATTAAGAGAGATATATTAAATAATTAATAAAATTTATTATAAAATTTTATTTTAAACAATTAAGAACAAAATCTTATATAATAATGAAAGTTTATTTATCAATGAATGAATGTGCGAAATCACAGAGATTCTAATGTTTCTGTTAATTCAAAGTTCAAAAGATTCAAAATAACAGTTTCTTTAGTCCAAATTATTCAATGAGTTCAAATGTTCTGATTTTTCCTCAAATTTTATAAATGCTTGTGTTTTCTGAAATCTCCACATTCATTTAAGAAAATATTCGGTATATATAAGGATAGATAAGTAGTCGATGACACGGGCGACCAGTCTCCTGAAACACTAATCTAAAAAAAATTGCTAAAATTAGATTGGAAGATTGTTAATTATTTTAATTTCAATCATTCTAATATTAGATATTTTCTGTTCTAATTTTTTTTTTTTATTTTACATTCTATGGATCCGAAAAATAAATTGTTCGATAAATATATATTACTGTAATAATGATTAATTCATCCTTTATACATTTTGAATGCATGATATATTTATTTTATTATATATATATTTATTTTATATATTATATATATATATATTTATTTATTTATTTTCAAAAACAATATAGTAATAATATAAGTAATAGTTCCATACTAATACATATATATCATGAATATATACATATAGATAGAATTCAATATATATAATATTAAAAAATTTTTATTAATTTTTATTAATATCTTGAAAATTAATTAATATCCAAAGCAAAAAATTTTACATTTAAAGTCTGCATTCTCTCTGCTTTATATAATTTCGGAAAACCTGATAAAATTTAAAATAAAGTTTTGAAAAGTAAAAATATTAACTTTAAGAATGAAAAGTAAAAAAAAATAATTATTAACTAAGAATTAAATTAAGAATGAAAAATAATTGCATGATTAATTTTTTAACAGTTTCTAACATTTATTTTTAAGAATGATTATTAGGAAAGCAAAAAAGATTACTATATTTTAAATTTAATAAAATTAAAAAAACTACTATATTTTGAATTTCTATATATAACATCATAAATAATACTGAAATTTTAATTATAGTTTTGTATAGTTTATACAAAATTTTACAAAATATTTACAAAACAAAAGTAAAAAAAATTAAGACTGAAAATTCTGGATATCATAATTATCTTTGTTAATTATTTTTCATTATTATCAAACGATATATATGCATTTTATGTACATTTGCATTTCTTCATATACAAAATGTTACAGTTAAATCAAACATTTAAATTATTTTCACTATTAGATTAAGAAAACAAAAATTTGAGACGTAGATATATGATTTTAGAATGTATAATGATATTATTTACTTATTTAATGACATAATTATATAAAAGTTCATTATCATTGTGAATGTTATTTTAAGATTATGTTAGTTTTTTGGATATTAATTTTTTTTTATTTTTTAATATAATGTTAATTAACATCAAGTTTAACCATTCTTATAATAATTATGCAAAATAATATATAGTATATCGATTTTTATAATCCTATATATTATTAAATTCAAAATATATATTCTAAAATAATATTTCTTAATTCATAATTTAACAGCTATTCAGTTTTAATTTCTAAATTATATTAATAAATTATATTAATAAAATTAATATCAATATCGAATCTATCGATATTTATTAATAAATTTCAATTCAATATCGATACAAAATTTTAAATACTTATATCATTTTTCTAATATTTTATTATTTTCGTTGTGGTTACATATACTAACGAAAAAATGTTATAAAATTTTAAAGTAAAATTTAAAATTTTAATTATAAAAATATATTATGTATATTACATTTGATTTTTTGAAGTAATATTATAATTACAGTAAAATACCAAAATAATTTGAAGTAAATTAAATAATATTTGAAGTTAAGAAAAATTTTAGAATATACAATTTTAGAAATATACAAAAAAAGATCTCAAAAGTATTATTTTTTTAATATTTTTATATCAATATTTCACTTTTGACTCAAATACATATTGAAGTCACTTTTGCATAACATTTATATACATATATAACATATATTTCAATAATTTTCAGTTTTAATAATGTTATTTATTTTTTTTATTTTGTTTTGTTATTTATTTTATAATTTTGTTTAATCTTATTAAATTATATCCGTAAATAATGAACTTTAATTGATTGAATTTTTATTTATATATTATATTTACATCAAAATTCCTTATTTGGATTGATTAACAATTATCAATCTTCATTAAATAGCGAAGAATTACAATAATAATTTTAATAAGTTTAAAAATCAATAATGTAAAACATTTGATGAATTTTTTAATTTCAGTTCTTTTAAATATATTTCTATTTCATTTGTTAATTATTATATATTATTTAGGAAACTAATATTAGTGACATAAATTTTGCATTTTTTAATAATTGTTTAAACTCTTTTTCGTATAATACATCAGATATATATTCAGATTTGATATTTTTTTTATTGACATATAATTGTAGAAAATGTTTAGCATTTTCATCATGAATTTTATTAATTTATAATATATCGCGAATTCATATCTTTACTACAAATATCTTTACTAAAATTATTTAAATTAAAAATTATTTTTAAATAATTTTAATTTTTCATATTATTTATTATTATTATTATTATAACAAATTTATTTAATTTTTATTGGTTTTTATAATGCAATAAATTTTATATAATCTTTATTTATATAAATCTTTTATTAATAACTTTTTTTATCTTTTGCAGCTATTACAATTTTAAAATTAATTCATTAATTTTATTTCATGTTATTGATAATTTTAAATCTTTGTTATCTATTTGATTATAATATTTTTTTATTTTCATTCGCTTAGATATATGTAAATTTTGTATTATAATTCTATTTTTTAAAATTCTATTTTGTATTATACAATCAAATATTGCATTTGCATTTTCAAACATTTATATTAATATAGTAATTTAATATAGTAATTTAATATAGTAATTTATATTAGTATAATATAATATTTTCATAATTATTTTTGCTTTTTCTACAATTTTCACTTCCTTTTTATTTAAAAAAATTGCATATATTGATAACTGAAATATATGGCATATAATATATAATGATCTAATAATACTAAAATTCATTTTTAATTTAAAATTTTGAAATATTTAATATCATTTAATATCATTTTCTTTTTTTATATATGTTATATATTATCTCAATAAATATTAATTTTGCAATTATGTTTTTAGCAGTACTTTAACAGTTTTCTTTTCCTTGTTTTTTATTTATTAATCATATTGTTTTCAACACTTCATTGTTAACTGTAATATATATTTATTTTTTTTGTAATATGAAATTTATTGTATTCATTATAATATTTTTCGAGTATTCAACAATATATGTATATTTATGAAATAATTCAACAATATCTAATATAAAAATTAAAAATATAATTTTTCAAATTTTAAAAATTAAATATTTATCATATATTAAAAGAAAGAATGTCCCATATATGTTGCAATGTTAATTTCAAAATATATAATTAATTTTCTTATTTTAATATTTTGCTTGATATATTTATCTTTTTTCTATAATGATTTTGTAAAAAAATGTGTATATAATAATGCAGCTTCAATAAATAGTAATATCAATTATGAAAAATAAATAAAAATAAATAAATTTTATAACCTTCAAAAAACGATATAAATCTAAGAAAAAAGAATTATAATCGGCTAACAATTATTATATTATTATATTATTATCTGTTTTAATCAAATTATATAATAACATATACTATTATATAATAACATATACATATAACTATTTTTAATAGTTTTAACCAATCATTTTCGAAATTGATTCAAGCCCCGATTCTTCGATATAAAATATAACTTTATTGATTATAGTAATAGAAAAAATATAATATAACTTTATTGATTTGTAATAGAAAGAATATAATAAATAAATAATAAAACAAAACAAATTTGATAATACCATTTATACAATAGTACAACATACAGTGTATTAATATAATATGTAAAAACAGGTATGTTCATATCTACAGAACTATTAAATATCGAGACAAAATAGCTGCCAGTAATATAACTAATAAATATTAGAATATTACTCTTCTCCGATTCTGTTATATTACTATCTACTGATTTGTTTCAATATTTAATAATACTGTTAACATTAAAGAATTTTCTTCCGACATGTATAATAGAGACTTAGAATATATAACATCTGTGTATAATACTTATTATGTATATACATATGTATGTATATTATGAAATCTTAATTTAAATTTAATTAATATATATATATAAAAAAAATATTAGAATAATTATTAGCTATCTTTGATAATATATATTTAAAATCATTAAAATGTCGATATCTTTTTTTTACAATTAACAAATTATTATATAATATTTAATTATGAAATATGAATCCAGCATAAAATATTTTGCTATTTAATAAATATATTTCATAACATTTATTTATTATAATGTATGTATATAAACATATTATATACATATTTAATAAATATATAAAAATGTATTATATATTATATAAATATATTTAAAAATGTACTTACTTTTAAATGGTTCTCGACCAGCTATTGTATATGCTGGTGAACTATCTATTCCATAATTTGTTAATTTTGATATATTATACTGAGGTCCAGGTCCAATACTTGGTATTTGAATTTCTGTCCGAGGTCTTATAGTATATGCAGGACCTCTTGGTCGAGATAAACAATGACCTTCATATCCAACTAAAGTCTGTAATTTATATATAGGAGCAGGACCTACACACGTGTATAAATTTTTAATTATAAATAATAATTATATAATTAAATTATATGTATATATTTTAATTAAATTGAATAAACAAAAATATTATTAATTTATAATTATTATTTCAATTGATAATAATAATTATAATTGAAAATTATTCGCATTATTTTAATAATATTTTGTAACATTTAAAATATTAGATTAAATTATAAATTATTTTCGTTTTTTTTTTACATTTCTTTTTTTATTTTAAAATTTACTATATTAGCTTATTATATATTTTAACTTATATAATTTTATTATAATCTAATATTCATATATAAATAATATATATAGTTAATATGTATAGTTCATATAGTTTTTAAATATATCTACATAATTATTTGATAATTATAAGATTATCTTTTTTATTTTTTATTTAATAAAAAAATTTAAATAAATGTACAAAATTTTAAAAGACACATATGATGAATGTAAATCTATCTAGATTTTAAATAAAACTATATTTTTAATAGTTAATAGTTACAATATATATTTTTCAAAATACAATATTTATATTTATTTAAATTCCTTAAAAAATTGTTCAATATTCAGGAATTATTATATGCTTATTTTCTCTATTCAAATTAAAGAAGAATATATCAAAGAATAATCGTAAACATCAATATAATAGTTTATTAGATATCTAAATAATATTTTTATTTCAAAGATTTTATTGATAATTTATTAATAGAATCTTTTTTAATTCTAACCTTCATATTATTTATTTATATTAGACATTAATTAAAAATAATAGATTAATCTTCTGATTAAATTTTATTTTTAAGAAACTCGACATAGAAAAAATATTAAATCTAATGACTTGTATGACAAAAATATCCTAATTTTTTCTCTAATAACAAATGAAACATATTAAGCATTTACTGAAGATAAAAATCTCAAGATTATAATCATTATCAATATTCATTATCTATAATATGTTGAATAAAATATTTTATAATTTTATTTTATAAATTTTTAAATATATTGATAAAATAAAATCATCATGATAACAATCGAATCAATTTTTTAACTTTTAAAAAAAGTTTTATAGACATTCAATAAAAGAAGAATTTAAATAATTTAAATGAAATATATATTTCGAAAGAAAAATATATTATATTTACAATATAATACAAGTTGGAAAATTTGTGAAATTTAAAAATAGATACTTTTTGAAAAAAGAAAGAAAAAAAAATATTTCAAATTTAAAAGTTTCAAATTTCAAGAGAATTTTAAAAATTTCGAGATCTCATAAAGTTTCGAATTTGAGTTCTGTGAATCAGTAGAAATCAAATTTTGATCTATCTCAATTTCTATTTTTTTTTTAATATATTATACATATATATATAATTATAGTTTTATAACTATTTATAACTATTTATAATCGATATGTGTGTTTGTTCATCAATTTTTATGTTTTTTTACTTCTATGCTTAAAATCGATCTTCCAAAGATTTTCTATTCTTAATATTTTGAATATATTATAATCAATTATAGAAAAGAGAAATTTCGCAATGTATAAAATATACAATTACTAATTATAAAATATATATGCAATTGCTAAATTAAGATTTTATTAAAGTATTAATAAATCAATAAAAAAATAACAAAATATTTAAAATAGTTATAATATATATAAAAAAAAATTAAATAATAAAATGAATTCATCAAAAATTCATAGAATTATAGAATAGAATAAAATAATAGAATAAAAAATAAATTCAAGGAATCGATATACTTCATTTTTCATAACTACAAATCATCATTTTATTTTTCTGTCTTATAATTTAATCATCTTATAATTAATCATGATCTAAATACAAAATATAACAAAAATCAACATTAACTATTATAACTGCACATCTATTAACTTATTATATATTTTAAAACTATGTTAAATTAATCATTCATTCAAATAATATAAATAAATCTCATATAAAATTAATATATATAATCATTAATAAATATAAAATCATGAATTATTAAATATAATTATGGAAGATATAATTAAGCTTAAATATTACAAATTTTATTTTATTGATATGAACATGATTATTTTATGATAATATTTTATAATATATAAATATAAATATTTATATTTCGTATAAAAATCTTACCTTTTATCATACAACTTAACAACTTTGGTTCATTTTCTTTATTGTCCATTTTTATAATGAAGAAAAAATATAATAATAACAAATACAAAAAATAATACAAAAATACGACATAACATAAAAAATAAAAACTATTAATAATCTGAAATTTGAATGAAAGAAATATAAAAGCCATATTCAGAGTAATTAAATTCTTCATTCATTAATTATTATATCATTTCTTACAATAAATTTGATAAAATTAAAATTAAAAATAATATATAATATATAATGATATTTTTTTGAACTAACATTTTTTTTACTTTAATTTAATATATTAATATATTAATATAATTTAGTATATACTTCTTCATGGAAAAAAATTTGTATCGATCATAGAATTACAAAATATATGATTCTATTTAAAAAAGTTAAATTACTTTAATAACTTTTATATATCTTTTAAAAATTTTCTTAAAAAAAATATTTTTTTAGATGATATTTATTTCATCATTCAAATTTAATATTTTTTAATATTCAAGAAATATTATATAAATAAATATATATTATAATTATGTATAATCATTTTAATCATGTAAAATAGAATTATTTATTTATTTTTTTATAAATTATTTGTAATATATGAATTTATTTAAAAGATTAATTTATTTTAAAAATTCTTTCTATTCAAAAATTAATTGGAAAATTCTTTCTATTCAAAAATTTGATTAGTGAATTTTTATATATTACTTTAAATTTTAACAAATTTAACAATTATTATTTTTATAATTTTTATTTTTTTTTTTTACAATTTAAATTTTTTTTTATCATATGTTATATAAAATTATTATTTTATAAATTATATGTAATATACAATTTATAATTATATATAATGTATAATTACATAAATGAAGTGTATTAAGTTTACGATATAAAAATACAAAATATGTTAAGAAGTATAAAGTTCAGCAAAGAAAATGATATACATATTCTCTTCATGAGATACATGTATAATGTCTCAAAAGAAAAAACAAAATGTGGGAAAGCTTAACTGAAAATACCTGAAATAATTTCAAATAATTTTTTCTCTTACAAAAATTCTTATTCGGCTTTGTTTGAATAATTAACAAAAAGTATTAACATTTTATATATAATTACTTATATCATTATTAGTTTTAATTTTTAATTTTTTATTCATGATTTATGATTTTTATATTTTATAAAATCATTATTCGTCAGTAAAAATGGAATTTTTATTAAATATATTGTCAATTTTTTATTCTTGGTTTATAAATTTCACAATTAAGAATGTTAAAATTTTTCGTTTAAATGAATTATTATTAATAATTTTATATTAATATTAATCCTATTAAATTATTCTGAAAATCGTATTATTCATTTAGAAATGTCATATAATTGTTTATTATAATTGTATATTTTGAAATATTGAAATACTTTATTTTTAATATAATTTCTCTACCAAATTGAAAAATTTATAGCAATATTGGATCTTTTATAGAGTAAGAACAATCATGAAATGTTTCAATTAGTTCAAAATTACTAAACAATAGAATGTAAGTTTCGAAAATAGAACACTTGGGTCAAAATCTGATAACAACTAAAACGTTTTTTTCAGATTTCCGATGCCAAGATTAGAAAAATTTGTACTAAGTAAATCTGAGACAAGATTCATTATTAATTCTGCATCAAAATTATATTAATATATTCAAATTTAATATTTTGAAAAATTGAAAAAATTAAATGAATTATTTCTTTATTTCATTTTTATCATTATTATTATTATTTTAAAATTTAATCAATTTCATACTTATATGTTAAAATATATATATCTATTTTTAAAGCGAGTCATAACTGGAGATGAAAAGTGAATCGTTTAAGACAATAAACGAAAAGATCGTTAAACGAAAATGATCATGGAGAAATAGAGATGAATCGGCACTTCGAAAGCCAACATTCATAAAAAAAAAGCTCTCTGTTTGGTGGGATTTCAAGGATTTGTTTTTTTTAGCTTTTATCTGAAATTGCATAATTCGAAAGTATATTGCAATCAATTGGACAAATTAAACAATTACATCAAACAAAAGAGATCTGAATTAATTAACAGAAAAGGTATAATGTTTTATCACGATAACGCTAGACTTCATTGAATTTAATAACTCGCCAGAAATCGTTAGAGCTTAGATAGAAAATACTACTGCATCCATCATATTGCCAGATCTGGTACCCTCGGATTTTATCATCTATTTCGATCTTTACAAAATTTTTTAGATGGTAAAATGTTTTTTTTTCAAATTTCAAGTGAGGATATCAAAAACCACTTGGATCAGTTTTTTGCAAATAAAGATCAGAAGTTCTACGAGCATGGAATCATACTTCTATCTAAAAGATGGCAACATTGACCACAATTGTCAATATGTAATTAAATAAAATACATATATGCTATTAAAAAAGTGTCTTTCATTATCATGAAAAGAAATGAAATTACTTTCCGAACATTCCAATATTTCTTTAAAAAAGGTATTAGAGACCTTAGATAGAAAATGAAATAATTTATAGAAATTATAAATTCTTTTAATATAAATTTGTATAATATTATATATATATAAATTTGTAATATATTAAATTAAAGTAAAGTAAAACAATTTCAGTCAGAATATTTACTTGCGTTTTTCTATAAAGTATATCAATTTACATCCATTTCTAGCTTGATTTTGTATTTAAAAAATAACATACATATATATCCATGATGCAATCGAAGGATTCAAATCAAATTATTAAAAATTCTTACACAGAAAATTCTTACACAAAAAAAAAAAATTTTTAGTCATTGAATTGACCTATTAAATTACAAATGATCAGCTGATTGTGATCGCGAAATGAATTTGAAATGAATTTATATTACTCATTGAATAACGAATAAATTCGATTTATTCTTACATGAATAGCAACTAGTTTATTCGTTATACGTGAAATGAATATCTTATGTATTATATAAGATATAAGAATTCAATATTTTTCGATAAAAAAATATTTATTATATTCAATATTTTCTCCAACACATATTATTTTTACATAGATTTATTTGTTCGAGTTCGTACATAGCACGTACATTACGGTTACTAGTTACTTTGACTAATTTGCGCAATCTATGATTAATCAATATTTTTTGTCAATTAATATTTAACAAAACCAAAACAAAAGTTTTTACAAAGGAAAATATTGAAATTATTTTAAGAATCTTCAATTACTGACGTAAATATACGTAATTCTCATTTTTGGAACAGTCTGTAAGGTTGAAGAATAAATCTGAATTTTAATAAACTTAATATTCCGTGTTAATCCGAAATTCTAATTTTTCGACTAACAATCAAAATCCAGTAGATATACCTATTTCAAATTCATTTTTGTAATTTCGTATAACATAATAAAAAACAGTGATTCAACTAATGCAGAATATGTATGCCCAAATCATCTGTGAACAACAATAGGTCAACAAATTTATCAAAAAAAAATCCAATTCATAAAAATTCAGTGCCCAAAGAAATCAGTAAATATCCGTTCAAATAAACTACAATAATTAGCAATTTGGAAGTAACTACGAGTTACTACGAATATTGTAAGTTTAATAATTAAATTTAATAATCCGTAAACAGTTACGAGTTTCTATAACACAAGTTAGGTTATACTAGATTGCTCAATGTGATTATTTTTATCTTTATTTTGCTTATCTGATGATGAAATAATATATATAACAATTGACAGATTTATTTTGCAAAATGAGCAATTAATAATAATCTGAGTAATGATTTTCTGATTAATTATATTAAATTGCAAATGATAAAAACTGATTGAAAATCGAAATATAAATAAATATATTCGATAAATATATATATAATATATCCACATATATCCACGATATATGTATATATCCGTAGAGAAAAAGAAAATATAATTACGAATTCATCTTTTATTTTTTACTTTTCTTTAAATAAAAAATTATTATTTATCTTTAACTTTTTTTAAAGTTATCTTAAAATAATTCATGAATTTAATAAAAGAAAAAAAAATAGGTTTTCTTGGATTAATTTCTTGAATTTCGCATTTAAATGACTAACATTATAAATATATTCATTATAATACATAATATTGTGCTTGCAAAAAAAAAAATATATATATAAATTAGAAAATTAAATGTGTTTTATTTGTTAAAACTTCTAGAACATTTATAAAGAGTTATATTATATATATATTATTATATTATATTATATATATATATTATATTTATCGATGCATATGGAGTTGATTTCAATTTTACGTTTATAAAATCTTGTGAAACCATCACTGTTTGTCTATTTGTTTTATACATATATCATGTCATGAAGCCAAATCAGTAAGAGATAAAACTTTTTTATTCAGATTCTGATGACGAGGACGATTATAATATTTTGCTTTTTGAAAATTTTGAATAATTTCAAAAAATATCATGTAATTGTTATTAAATATTGTTAATAATGTTTATAATAGTAAACAAATGCATACAATAATAATAAAAATTCATTTTTAAAAATGAAACGGCTTTTTCGATAACATTAAGCATCAAAGCTCAAATTTAAATTTAAGTGATTTTAAAAATTTAAAAAAATTTATATTTAATGCGAGAATAATTTTTATAACAAAAATATGAATAATGTCATATTTTGAATTCAAGTTAATATCATTGACTTTAATACGAATAACGAACGATTATAAGTAAATATATAAGTATATATGTAAATAAAAGTTATGATAAAAGTTTAATTTTGATTATTCAATGTCAAATTAAAAATAACTATTTTATTAATACAAAATATCAGTTATTTGTAAATTAAATAATTTATATTAAACGCGTAAACACGTATATGAAAATTTCCATGATTGAATTTGTGATCCAACATGGCGAATCAGTGTTTTAAAATCATATTTTAATAGTATTGTTATTAGATCATATTATATAGATTCATATCAATTATTTCATCATACAAATCGTCATGAACGAATATTTATCTTGAAAAG